AGCTATTATCCTGTCTGGGGGAATGACAGGAGTAACATCAATCTCCTGTTTGTCAGTAGTTTCGAACTGTCTGGACAGAGCGTCTGCTTTAGTGTTGCGATCACCTGGCCTATAGGTGATAATAAAATTGAAACGGGACAAAAATAGTGACCACCTAGCCTGCCTGGAAGACAATCTTTTGGCTTCGCTAAGGTAGGATAGGTTCTTGTGATCCGTAAAAATGAGGATAGGATCCTTAGTTCCTTCTAACAAATGTCTCCACTCTTTAAGTGCTAAAATAATAGCAAGGAGTTCGCGATTACCCACATCATAATTTTTCTCTGCTTTGGACATTTGTTTAGAAAAGAAGCCGCATGGATGCAATGGCTTCTCAGGCGACTCTCTTTGGGATAAGACAGCACCTACCCCAATATCCGAAGCATCAACTTCAAGAATATAGGGCAGTGAGGGGACAGGATGCTGTAAAATAGGTGCAGAGGCGAACGTAGTTTTAAGAAATTCAAAAGCCTGAAGTGCCTCGGTAGACCAAACACGAGTATTGCCATCCTTTTTAGTCATACGGGTAATAGGTGCTACAATGGACGAGAAACCTTTGATAAAACGTCTATAATAATTGGAGAACCCAAGAAAACGCTGAATAGCTTTCAGACCTTGCGGTAGAGGCCATTCTATTACAGCAGCTAGCTTCTGGGGATCCATACGAAAACCTTTAGCGGAAATCAAATACCCCAAGAACTGGACTTCGGTTTGGTCAAACAGACATTTTTCTAGCTTGCAATAAAGACCATTAGCAAGAAGGGTCTTCAAAACTGTCGTAACATGTCTGTGATGAGTGTGTATATCTGTAGAATATATTAAAATGTCGTCCAAGTATACGATAACAAATGTGTGAATAAAATCTCTCAAGACATCATTAATAAATTCTTGGAATACTGCTGGGGCATTGCAAAGCCCAAATGGCATAACAGTATATTCGTAATGACCGGATCTAGTGTTGAATGCAGTCTTCCATTCGTGATTTTCCTTTATACGTATCAAATTGTATGCACTCCTAAGGTCTAATTTAGTGAACACAGTGGCATGTTTCAGCCTGTCAAACAATTCTGTAATTAAAGGTATAGGGTATGCATTTTTGATAGTGATTTTGTTTAGACCTCTATAATCTATACACGGTCTTAAATCACCTTCTTTCTTCGATACAAAGAAGAACCCTGCTCCAGCTGGAGAAGAGGATCTCCTAATAAACCCTTTTTCTAGTGATTCCTTGATGTACTCCTCCATGACACGGTTTTCTTGAACCGATAAGGGGTACACCCTGCCCTTTGGAGGTATAGTGCCAGGCAACAAGTCAATAGCGCAATCATAGGGTCTGTGAGGCGGTAATTTCTCAGCCTCCCTTTTATCGAAAACAGTCTTTAGAGATAAATACTGAGGGGGTATAACCGTAGACAAAGGAGGACTGGTAGGTACCTCAATAGAATTCAAAGGTGTGACTTCCAACGTACAAGACTCGTGGCAGGCCTCACTCCATGATTTTATTTGCCCTGTCTCCCAGTCAAAAATGGGATTGTGAGCACGTAACCATGGATACCCTAATACTAACTGTGAAGAGGGAGAGGTGATGACCTGGAATCGAATGGTTTCATAGTGTAAAACCCCTGTGTACATGTGTAATGGTACAGTCTCATGAGTAACAACTGGAGAACTTAATGGTCTACCATCTATGGCCTCAACGGCCAAGGGTATCTCCTTCTCTCTGATGGGAATGTTGTTTCTCTTTATAAAGCCAGAGTCTATAAAATTTTCAGCTGCCCCAGAGTCAACCAGAGCATATATGTTGTCAACTATACAAATCTCTCCCATATATAAAGAAACCGGGAGAAGCAAGCGGTTAGGAGGCAATTTAGGAGACTTAGATATCACACCCAAGGCCAGTCCCCTATAAGGTCTTAGGTGCGAGAGTTTTCCGGGAGTAAAGGACATTCCTTTACCATATGGTCTCTCCTACCACAGTATAGGCAGAGTCCCTCCCTTCTCCTATGTAATTTCTCAGTATCAGAGAGTTTGGCAACCCCTAATTGCATAGGTTCCTCCTCAGACACTTTAACACTCTCTGGTATATTAACTCTGGGGTTAATGGGTGTAACAAAACGTCTATTCCTGTTCTTGGTATAGAGCCTGTCACGAATTCTATTATCAATATCAATGAGGTAATCGATAAGGTCCTCTAAGGCAATAGGAAGCTCCTTAGCTGCTACCTCATCCAATATCGTATCTGACAAACCTTCCATAAAGGCAGTAGTTAACCCATTGTTGGTCCAATCTACCTGCGAAGCAAGAGTGCGAAACTGAATAGCATAATCAGCCACAGACCTAGAACCCTGTTTAATTCTCATTAATGCTCTCGCGGCATTCTTTGACCTTTTCATTGTGTCAAAAGTTCTACGAAAAGCCGTAAGAAAACTGTTGAAATCATGTACCATAGGTCCATTAGCTTCCCAAATAGGATTTGCCCACTCAAGTGCCTTATCGGTAAGTTGGTGCATAAAGAACCCAACCTTAGACCTCTCTGTGGGAAATGAACGTGGATACATTTCGAAGTGAAATTCAATCTGATTAGTAAACCCTCTGCAAGTCTTAGAGTCCCCTCCATACCTAGGAGGAGGTGTTAAATGGGCCGAAGTATTAGGCAAAGTAGATACTTCAGGGAGAAGGGGCGTAGGAGGGTTAGGTGTGGTTGCTGGAACGGTTCTAGCTAGGAGCGTCTGGAGAGCCTGAGCTATCTGATCCATACGGTGATCCTGCTCTACAAATCTTGCCTCATGGGACGCCATCTGTTGAGCTAAATCTGCGGGGTCCATGGCCCTATCGTAATGTAACGAGAATATACCCCTACACGCAGGATCCAGCTAAACAGAGGCAGATACAGAGGAGAGATACGTCTACCGGACCTTAGAATGGCCGGACTCGACGTATATGAGAGGAGACAGAGCCAGGAACAAACCGAGGTCAAGGGCACAGAGAGACAGCGTAAACTAGGACAAGCCGGGGTCTGGTACACGGAAAACAGCAAGCCGGCAAACAGTACAGATAAGGATAAAGCGAAAACGAAGTCAGAATACGAAGCCAAAGTCAATACGAGAAAACACAACTGAACACCACAAGCGCTAAAGGGAACTGAAACAGAAACCACGATAGGGCAACGAGCTAAGGGAAAAAGGTAAGTTTAAATAGCTTTTAAACGAAAGTGATTGGCTCCTGTCACTTCCACACCCCCCATAGGTAATTGTATAGGGAGTGTGGTATGACAGGAGCCAATGGGAGCCTTTTGGCAATTAGGCTCCCACTGTCTCTTTAAGAGCGCGCCCGAGACTCGCGGCGCGCTCTTAGTTTCAGGCGGGACACGTGACCGCTTCACGCGGTCACTGCCCGCCTTCCATCCAAAGCAGTCGGATGAGCCGTGCGCGGCTCGTGCAGCCGCAGGACCGCGCGCGGCTTGAAGAGAGGACCGCGACCGGCCCCCGGTTAAGGTAAGTAACGCTACAATCTGCCATTTTTAGCTTGTGTTCCTGTACGGTTGATTCAAGCTCTTGGAGCTTGTCCGCGAGGCTGTTGTGGGCCTCTGCAAATTCATCCATCTTCTTTTCCATGTGGGAGGTACGCTGGCCCACTTTGTGGAGTTCCTTTCGGAGGTCTGTGGAGAGTGTAGTTATTTGTTTTTTTAGGTTTGCTTGTATATTTTCCGCAAATTCCGGCATCATCAGACGCATTGTCGTCGCTGTCAGAGGTCTCTCTTCCGACACCGAGCTGGGGGAGGCAGAGGGGGAGATTGAGTCATCTCCGGTACATAGCACTCTGCCATTTTTGATCGGGCTGCGGCCCTCTCGTGCTTTGGGTGCAGATGTTTTGTTGAGGAAAAAGGACGCTCTGTCCGCCTGAGGTAGTTCCGTTCTTATGGGGTATTAAATTTCTTGTAGACCGATTATTTTTGCTCCTGTTACTCCAGGTTCAGGAACCTCACAGACTTGCGTCCATGCGGTTCAGATGCCAGGCCACGCCCCCTGCTTCTGCTTTTTTAATGGGAAAGCATACAAGGCTATATAGTAAATACCTTTGTGACTTGCGCGACAAAAACAGGATGCTTGAAGGCACTTTATACCATAAAAGGAATTTACAGAACTAAGCATATTTCAACAGTTATATATATAAAAAAAATGAAGTTACTTAGGACATAAGAAGTGGGGGCTGAGTCTGACAGCTGCAATCTTCACAAGAAAGATTGTGCTTACATGTCAGGCACTAAAACTAGGATAAAGTTCAAAGCACATCATGATCCAAGTTAGCCAGTTTTAAACAGACTGGTCATCCGGTCACCTGTAACTTGAGCCTTGGTTCAGGTATAATCCTCCACACCTCTAAAGCTGATTGTCATTGTGTGCCAATTGTATGCCTCTAAAACTGATTGCCATGGTGCCAATGGTATACCTCTAAATCTGATTGCCGTGGTATGACAATGTTATGCTTCTAAATCTGATTGCCATGGTGTGCCAATTGTATGCATCTAAATCTGATTGCCATTGTGTGACAATTTTATGTCTCTAGAAATGATTGTTATGGTGTGCCAATTTTATCCTTATTCAACTGATTGCCATGGTGTGCCAATTGTAGGCCTCTAAATCTGATTGCCATGGTGTTAAAATATGCATTAAAAGCAAGTGGGTCTTGTACCATTTTTAAAAGTGGGTCTCGATCCATAAAAGTTTGGGAAGCCCTGCATTAGAGGAAACGTACAATGCATGAATAGTTTTGTTTGGAAAGTGTATCAATTTTCAGATTTAAAAAAATACCTTTTCATAAAAGTATTAACAAACAACAATTACTTGTCTAAAAACATTTTTCATAGATAACATGCATAATTGTACATACGTAATAGTAAAATGTTTTGGTTGTATGTTTAAATATTACTTACACCTTTGATATCTGATTCCCATATAATAGATCTCTCTTTGATGTAGAGGTTAGGCTCTGTGTTTGCAGTCAAAATGTAATCTCCAACGTGGGTTGTTTTCATTGTGTTATTTAAATATATGTATTGTAACAGCTCAAAATGTGTCTTTGAATTTCTCGTCTCATGAAAAGTAAACTCATTACCAGAAGACATGTTAAAATGCAGACTTCTTAGATATTTTCTCAGCTGAAATAGTTTACAAAGAATACAACTTTAGTTTTGCAAACAACTACAAAGACAAAACACAATAAGTCTGGCTTGACAAACACACATAAGGCTAAAATGCCATTAGTATGATAAACTAACCAACTAGTAAACAAAAACTACTACTACATCATATTTAGAGCGGCAGAGTTATTATGTGTTCATTTGTATGTGCTGAACGTTGTATCCCCATTCTTTTGATTGTGCATCATATTTTGTATATGTCACCATTCTGAATGTTTAACCTCCTAAGAACCAGGCTTCCATTTGCTTTTTTTCTGTACATAAAGGTACACTTCACTGACCAAAAACAAAAAAGAACCATTACTGTGTAGTAGATATACAGATTAACCCCTAATGAAAACATGTATGCGTTTTTTTAATTGAGTCAATATATATAAACAGCTTGCAAAGGCTGTAGATCTCTGGTCTGCTGCCTTTGCAAGCCCTCCTCTTTTTGCACAGCCCAGACTCTGTGTCTGTCCAATCACAGACTTTCCAATACAGCTCAATAAGAAATCTTTGCAAGATAGGGCTATGAGCAATTGCCTGCCTTTAGGAGAACAAGAGGTTAAAGGAACTGTTGTCTGCTTGAAGGCCATGGAGTGTAACATGGATAGTTAAAAAAACTTTCAATATCTCTTGAAACCTGCACTTTTTAAAATGAAAAAAAGGACACACTCTTTATACATAACATATTTCAGTAAGCTAAAGTGCTACAGGGGTCTTGACTGCCCCTTTTCAGCAATAACTGAAGAACAAATGTTTGCACAATTAATATTGTGTGCTTAAGTAGTGGAGCTTGATAAAATGTAATTCAAAATAAATTCATGTCTTTGTCCTGATTTACAGAGTATATCAAATAGCTAGTATTTCAGTTCATGTTTAGAAGTTATGGGTCACAAACTACATGGAGTAAAATATAGTTTTATTGTGGTAAGATTTTACAATTTAGTATGTGTTCCTTCTTTAATAGGCACCACAGAAAACAAAATTGCCACACAAAAGTATATGTTACTAAAATAGACATTAAATATCACACACCATTTACCTAAGGGTATTTTAACAATTTTTACATGGCCATTAATCTGCCAATATCTCCTAAATATTGTAGTAAAGTTGAGTTTTTCTGATATTTAACACACACACATTACATGCTTTTTATGTGTATTTCTTAAACCTGATGTCTGCTACTTCATTACAAAATCCCATATTGTGTACATTCGTTTGATTACAAAAATACCCTGCTGTATGCCTTTGTCACTGTCATGTGAAGCCACAGTGTCATATAAGAGACCTGGCCATTTTAGTTTTTACAGTTAAAATTTTGATAGATTTGATGGGCCTAAGTCTAATTTTAGGGCATTACAGCAGTTTGACTGCTCAATATAACCAACAAAGGCAGTAATTTCATAATTTGTGAAAATAGACACTCCAGGGTAACGTATAAGGGCTATGATGTTCCATAAAATGATGCCATTTTTTCATAAGTTTATGTCAAAATGTGTGAAGCATTTTTAATTTTTTTTATT